GGCACACTGCTGGCTCATGGTTAACCTGTCGTCCACCAGGACACCCAGGTCCTCCTCTGCAGAGCTGCTGTCCAGCAGGTCCGCCCCAAGCCTGTACTGGTGCATGGGGTTGTTCCTCCCCAGGTGCAGGACCCTGCACTTGCTATTGTTGAACTTCATCAGGTTCCTCTCTGCCCAACTTTCCAGTCTTTCCAGGTCTCGCCGGATGGCAGCACAGCCTTCCGGTGTATCCACCACTCCTCCCAGTTTTGTACTGTCAGCATTGCTCACTGGGGTTAAAGCACGACAGCAACTTTAGCAATAGAGCTGTCATGGGATGCTCAGTGAAATTATCAGGCAGAAAGCTTAAATACCAGCATATGAAAACAATTTTAAAAATACTTTCAAATTAAAACCATAGACTCTGTTGTTACGAAGCAATGTGAAGGTCAAAAGCACAAAGAGGTTACAAATTACGAATCCATGAAGAATAAGAATAGTTAGAGAAGATAATGGGGAAAATCCCCTGCAAATAAAATCTTTGCTTCGCCAAACCTCGGTTTACGTATCCTGATAAATTATTCCTTTATATGTGCACTGTTCTGTATTATTCTCCAAGTAACTGATATTAGCTGCCTCTGAAGACATGATCTACGGACTAGACTAGTCTGGTGGAGCAGTCTCTGATGCAGAGACTGCAAAGCTGCAGATTTTAACTAACTGGTCTTCAAAACAAAAACCAAGGTGCCAAGTCCTGTAACAGAACAGTAGGACCCCTTGCTGTAACCTCCACCCCCCCCTCCCCCGAAGTTTGCTCTGCTGCATCAGAAACTCACCATCTTGAACTACTTCTTCATTTGAGTCTCCTTTCGATTTTGTATATTCTAATGTGTAAGAAAGTCCATTGCATCCCCTTGTACGAACACCTACTTTCACACCTACCTAAAAAAGAGAAAACAAACACCACGTTCATTACTATTTTAAAACCTATTCTGGAACACCAAGACAAAAAATATACAGAACAACAAAACGCTGACATTTATTATTCTCCACTGCCTCAAAGCAGGAGTGAATTAGCTTAATGGATTATGAGGTAACATTTTTTCCCTTTTACAAAGTTGACTGCCAAGGTAAAAGCAAACATCAGATGTTTACTATCGTGCATCAAGCCCTAAAGTACATTAAAAGTTCTGAGATAATAAAGTGTTGGTATTCCTGTAGGTGCCTGGTCTCATTAAGGCAGCCAAATTTCAAAGGTAGGTATTTTTTGTGACTTCAAATTAAAGTCAACTCAGATGCTAATTCAGGCACTATGTTAAGATTACTGACAGTAATGTAATTATGAAGCTGTGAGGCCAAGACAAGGGCAGTTACTAGATTTTCACAGAGCTCTTGTAATGACACCATCAGAAAACTTACTTCAAACCAAAGTTTTGAAAAACATACTTTGATTTCTTCATTACTTCTATCACCAGTCTCACTTAAAAAGCAGTCCCTCCTTAAATCAAGTATGTTTACTTGCTTCCTGTCTTAATCGACCTTAAAAGCCAACCTAGTCAATGTTTGTAACGGTTCACAGTATCCAACAAGTCTGACAAAAAGACCATCTGTGTAAGTAAACACTGAGAAAAGGTTTTAAAGAAACAGAAAACTATTTGTGCACAGCAATCTTTCAAAAGGATCTGTACCACCTTCCACACACCAGACCTTCATAACTAAAGAGGAAAATGGTATTGTCTATCTCTGTAATCAATGTTACAATAAAAACGTATCAAAACATACCACTTGTCATCAAGCGGGATCTCAGACAAATAGTGCTTGATCTTTTCAGACTAAATACCTTTCTCTAGAGGAACTGCTACAAATAATGAGCTGGAAAACACAAACACCATTTACAGCAAGGGGATGACTGACCAGCTAAGCTGGAGGCTTAGGACTTCCTTAGGAGGGTTTAAAACATGAGAACAAAGAGTATAGTTAGTGGCAGACATGCAGGAAGCAAAGAAACAATGGGCCTTGTGTGAAAGTTGAAAGAGAAATATTGTTCTTGAAATAATACCTACTGCAAAGAAGAAAATGTAATGCTTGTTTTTATAATGGTTAGAAAGCAAGACACTGGGTGTTTTTCCCCTAGAAGAAAAGATGACAAGCTCAATCAGTTCTTTGCAGAAATGCTCATTGCATAAAAAAACCCATGGTCTGGCAAGTTTCCTAAGAACTGGATGTTTTCCGAAGGGTATGAATCTAACTTTATTACTATATTCTTCACAACGACAATTCCTACAAGAACTTAACAACATGTCAACATCAACAGCTGAAGATCTATTTCGCTACCAGAAGTCACTCCTACGACACGCTAAAAGCCTTCATTAAAATACAGCTGAAATATGTTCTGAAGCTTGATTTTTTTCAACTTTATCCATCTCAAAAGTAAGTGTACAGTGAAATGTCCTTACAGTCAGGTACTTCCTGCATTTGATTTCTAAAGAAACGAAGCTTCACACATAAATAAGCTTATCCATTCCCCTCCAAAAAAAGATGCCGGCACCTCTAATAAACACCTCAGTGTTTATTTGAAACTTCCACATTAGCAGAAATGCTTTGCGACCATGAGCTGTGCTAATACCTTAGCATGGTCAACAGGCTGGCCCTCTTTATACTTACATGCTCAGGTTTATCTTTAAGAAGCTGTTTTATCTTCTGAACAGCTGATGGGGTCTGAAAAACAAAACCATAAACATCAGTTTGAAATGTTTTTTTTGTTTGTTTGCCCATTTGCAGTGAGTGCTTGCAGATATTGAAGTATGCAGTGTACATAGTTGTACTATAAAAAAAAAATTGTATTCCAGCCCTGCGCACTCAAGTTTTCTTGGTTTACAGCCATCTCCTATCTGTGAAGTCCACCTTCTGCACCGGCCGCGCCTGTCAGCACTGTGTAAGACTTGAAACGGGTGCCTGGTCTGAAGATACGCGCTCTGCCACAGCATGGACGATCGCGGAATCTAATCCACGCAGAGCGCGGTACCTCCTCGCCCCCCTCCTCACCCACACTGCCAGGAAACAGCTCAAGAACCGCAGTCCTTAAGATCAAGAGCGTTTGGGGTTCCCCCCCCCAAATCACTACTGCAATCCAATCAAGTAGTTCTGCTATCGTGAAGCTCTGGCCACATCCGCGTTACAGACAAAAACCAGAGACGCGCAGAGTGCTGGCGCCTGCGTGTCCCTTCCCGCTGACCTGGGGGGGAACTGTGACCCCATGGCGGGCGAACTCGCTGCTGGCGCAGATCGAGCTGCCGCAGCAACGCGA